CCAGGCTGGCCCTGAACTCACAGAGATCTACTTGCCTCTGCCGGGATTATAAACACATGCCACCATGTCCTGCCAAGGTTGTATTTTCAAATTTATTTGGGTGTTTTGCCTGTATATATGTCTATGTGAGAGTGTTAGAACCCCTGGAACTGGAGTTACAGACAGTTGTGAGCTACCATGTGGGTACTAGGAATTGAACCTGAGTCCTCTGGAAGAGCAACCAGTGCTCTTAACCACTAGGCCATCTCTCCAGCCCCACTGGCCTAGTCTTAATCATAGATAATTCTTTAGCTCCAGCAGACCAGCATCCATTGTCCAAACAAAACAAAGGTTTTGCTTTAGTGGTTCTGGTTGCTTGTTAGTCACAGCTGATTCTTCAGCTCCAGCTGACCAAAAAATGCAGATTCTTCACACAAATGACCAGTAGAAACTTTGTTTCCCTCTGAAACTTCACAGACTAGGCCTGCATTACATCTGCATTACTTTCAACACTCTTATCTTCTAAGCTCCCACAGAACATCTTGTTGAGCTCTCAACATTCAATAGCTTTTCTAGCCCAAAGTGCCAAAAGTCCTTAAACAATCCTCCCCAAAGCAACATGATCATGTCTGTCATAGCAACACCCTGCTCCTGGTACCAATTTGTATTAATTTGGGTTACTATTTCTGGATGAAACACCATAAAATTAGTAAGCACATCTGGACTCAGTTCTAATCTTAATCCCAGGACCTGTGAGTATGTTATCTACATTGCAAAAAATGATTTTTTTTTTGGAGATAATGTTTCATGTAGCAGGTGAAATTTTTATACAACCAAGAATAATCTTGTAGATAAGTAACAAGAAGGACTAAAGAGAGGATGCTTAAATCTCATTCAGAAGGGGAAATAGAATAAACAGCAGAAGCGGTTAAAGGGAGGAAACAGCATAGGACAGGGAGGTCAGAGAAAAATTAGGGTGAAGATCAGACCTTGGAAGTGTGTGTGTGTGTGTGTGGGGGGGAATCAGGGGCTTGTAGAGAGAAGAGAAACCAAGTGTGGGGACATCTCTGTGACAACCTGAGATCTAAGACAGGAGAGGCTCCTGGAAGGATATAGGGGTGACTCTAGCTGAGAATCTTAGTAGCAGAGGTCATGAAGATTGAAGAGGCCACTAACTAGACAGAATTTCTAGTGGAGGGAAAGGAACACCACCCCATCCACAAAAACTTTGACCCAAAATTTACCCTGCCTATAAGATGTGCAGAGATAGATTGAAGGATGTCTAACCAATGCCTGGCCCAACCTGAGACCCACCCCATGGGAGAGAGCCAACCCCTGACACTGTTAATGATAATAGCAGCCTAGCATAGCTGTCCCTGAGAGGCTTCACCCAGAACCTGATGGAAACAGATGCTGAGACTCACAGGCAAACACTGGGCAGAGTGCAGGGAAGATAGAAGAGAGGGGACAGGAGCTCCACAAGAAGACCAACAGAGCCCATTAACTAGGGCCCAGAGGGATTCATGGAGACTGAAGCACCACCCAAGGACCATGCATGGACGGGGACCAAATCCCCTACACAGATATAACTAATGAGTACCTTGGTCTTAGGGGTTCCTCAGTAAGACAATCAGGGGCTATCTCTGACATGGACTCTGTTGCCTGCTTTTTAATCACTTCCCTCTGACCAGGCTGCCTTGCCAGACCACAGCGGAAGAATATTCAACTTGATGTGTTCAGGTGGGTTGATGTAGGAGGGCTCCCCTTCTCTGAGTCGTGGGAGGGGTAGAGGGAAGAGGGAAGGAACATAGGACTGAGAGGAGAGGAGGGAGGAGGCTAGGATAGGGATGTAAAGAGCATTTTAAAAAAAGAACCTTGATTTTTCTTTCTTTTTTTTTTTTCTTTCTCTCTCTCTTTTTGACTTTTTAAGACAGGGTTTATTTGTGTAGCTTTGACTGTCCTGGAAATAGCTCTGGGGACCAGCTCTGGCCTTGAACTCATAGAGATCTGCCTGCCTCTACCTCCTGAGTGCTGTGATTAATGGTAGGGACTACCACTGCTGGCTAATCCCCCTGCTTTTACCTTCCAGGTGCTGAAATTTTTAAATGCTGAGATTACAGGCTCTAGGAACTCAAAAGCAATCAGTTTGCTTCAATTCTTAATTATTATTTGTAAATTATTACAAGATCAAATCATAATCGGTGGTATGTCCTGGCTAGTTTTGTGTCAACTTGGCTAGAGTCGTCTGAAAGAAGAAAATGTTGATTGAGAAAATGCCTGCAAGGCATTTTTTAAATTAATGATAGATTGCGGAGTGCCTAGCCCATTGTGGGGGGTACCATCTCTGGGCTGGTGGTCCTAGGTTCTATAAGAAAGCAGACTGGATGGAGATCCAAGATGGTGGCACCGAAAGGACACTGTCTGATGAGCAGGACAGCAGTGACTGCACAGTGACCAACAGACCGAACTCTGGGCCCTAAAACCCAGCGGTTGAGTTTCCCAGGTGGGAGGAAATCCCACAGTATGGGAAGCAATTGGGTCCATTCTCAGGCCACCCAGCTAAACCTCAGGAGAGTTCCCGGTCCCAGCAGGCCCAGAGCCATATGCCTGCATGCTCTGATTATCATCTCAGACTGAACTGTGGGCCCCACAACACCAGCAACTGCTATTTCCAGTTGAGAGAAAACCCCACGGTAAAGGAAGCAATCGGGACTGACCTCAGATCACCCAGACAATCCCTGGAAAAGGTCCCAGGCTCCAGTAGGCACTCAGCTGCCAGCCCAGAGACCTGCCTGTGTATCAGACTCACCATCTCAACAGAACTGTGGGCCCCAGGACACCAGAGACTAGGTTTTTCTGTTGGGAGGAAATCCCACGAGGGAAACATCTGGTCCGACCTCAGGGCACTCAGCTGAACCCCACCCCATGAAAAGTTCTCGGGAAGATTTCCCAAGTTCCTGCAGGCATCCAGTTCCTAGCACAGAGCCACTCGCCTGTGCCTGTGTGCTCCACTCACCATCCCAGATTGAACTGTGGACCCTAAAACACCACAGACTGTTTCTCCCTGTCAGGAGGAAATTCCATGGTGGGAGAAACATCAGGTCCAACATCAGGACACCCAGCTCCGGAAAAGTTTCTGGGTTCCTGCAGGCTCCAGACTCTAGCCTCCGGCTGCATGCATGAGTGCTGTGCTCACCTCCCACTGATTACCACTTAGGTACAAGGCCACAGAGCTCCAACCTCAGAGCTACAGAAGTCTGGGATCCACTGGATCAGCCCCCAGATACTGCTCCAAGGTGCAACTAGTTATCCCTAGCTAAACTAGGGCTCTAATGGGGCTCTCTGGTTCTTCAAGAGGGCTGCACCCAGCAAACACACTGTAAGAGCAGCAGCAGCTCACTAAATTCAGAGCAAGAAACTCAGAGGCATGGCAGCTGTCTCCAGGACTTCTCTTGGTGAGAGGAGAGCCCCCCTGACTACCAATGACCACAGTTATCACACAGGTCCATATGCATGAGGTATGGACTGCAGCAATTCCTGAGAAGCACCCACTATTCCATGAAAAGCTGAGGAGGCCTCCTTCAGGAACAACCATCTTCCTGCCAAGGGGATTTGCCCCATCCCAGGATTCGAGGAGGTACCAGAAACTAACAGCCAACACCTGAGACAGCCAGATGGGTAGAGGCTAGTGTAAAAACACAACCAACAAAAGCCAAAGCAAGAACCCAGCTATCCAGGGGCAAGCAGCCCTGGACACCCTATCATAAGTGAAATCAAAGAAGATAACCTTACATCTATGCTTATGAAGAGGATAATGGAGGAAACAAATGAAATGCATGAAGAAATAGAGGAAGATAAATCAAATAGATTATGGCCATCAGTAAAGAAATACAGGAAGATGCAGCCAAACAGTTTGTGGCCTTCAGAGAGGAAATAATTAAGTCACTGAAAGAAATAAAAGAAACAGAGGAACGTTGAAACAAACAGGTGAAGGAATTGAAGGAAAAACAGGAAAATGCAGTTAGACAGGTGAAAGAAATCAACAAAACAGTTCAAGATCTGAAGATAGAATTGGAAAAAGTAAAGAAAACATAAATAGAGGAAATCATGGAAAGGAAGACCTTAGGAAAGAAAACAGGAACTACAGAGGTAAGCATAAACAACAGACTACAAGACATGGAAGAAAGAATCTCAGATGTGGAAGATACAAAGGAAGAAATCGATGTATCTGTCAAAGAAAATGTTAAATCTAAGAAAGCAGACTGAACAAGTTGTGGGAGCAAGCCAGGATGCAGCACCTCTCCATGGCTTCTACATTAGCTTCTGCCTCCTGGTGGCACACGCCTTTAGTCCCAGCACTAAGGCAGGCAGAGGCAGGCACATTGCTGTGAGTTCAAGGCCTGCCAGGTCGACAAAGTAAGTCCAAGACAGCCAAGGCTACACGGAGAAACCTTGTCTCAAAAACACAAATCAAACCAAAACATGCTCGGTCTTTGGTTGTTGCATCAGCCTCTGGAGTTCAACCCTGGGTCCAGCTTCTTTGGCTTTGCTGGTTTCCTTGAGGGGCTCCTGTCCCCTCTGGGTCTTTCTGTCTCTCCCTTCTTCCAGAAAACTCCCTACACTCTGTCCAAAGTTTGTCTATGAGTCTCCGTATCTGCTTCAAACATAGGATAAACATACTAAAATCAGCAAATCCTTAAAGTGTAGGATCCACTGGGTTTTGGCATATACACAAAGTCGTGCAGCCATCTCCAATGCCCTGGCGAAGGCCACTCCCCGTTCTCACAATGCCTGGCGTTTGGTGTTTGCCGTTTGGGAATAAAGGGATCTGCTTTTTTGTCTGAGTGCCTCTCCTGGAGATTTCTTGGAAATTTTCACAGCCTTGTGGACTCCGCACACCTCAGAGGCTCCGCCCTCTCGGTGGCCAGCGGTTACAGGATTGGACACACGGGTTGGGTGTGCACAGGGCATCCAATCACTCTGGTGGCTGCGGTGTGCAAGCGCCAAAGGCACTCTGGGCGGGTATGGCGAGATGGTGGCGTGCGTTTCCTCGCGCGGCGCGGCGCTATCCTTGGCCCACTAACGTGCTGCTGTACGCCGGGCTCTTCTCGGCGGGTGATGCGCTGCAACAGCAGCTGCGGGGCGGCCCGGCCGACTGGCGACAGACGCGGCGCGTGGCCGCTCTGGCCGTGACCTTCCACGGCAATTTCAACTACGTGTGGCTGCGCCTGCTGGAGCGCGCGCTCCCGGGCCGCGCACCGCGCACAGTCCTGGCCAAGCTGCTGTGCGATCAGACTGTCGGAGGGCCGGTAGCCCTCTCTGCCTTCTATGTTGGTGAGGGGCCACGAGGGGACTCTGGGAGTCTGGGATTGGGGCACTGGAAGCCCGGAAGGAGGTTGGTGTGTGTGTGTGTGTGGGGGGGGGGGAGTTGTCTGGAGGAGATGCAGACACCGAAGATCTGAAGCTTCTTGGGGCTGAGGCAGGAAATCTAGGGATTCAGAAGGTTGGTGTCAGCTGAGAGGGTGGTGTCTGTTTCCTACATAAAAGGGTATATTCAAGAGACTGCCCGATAGCATCTGCATCCCTGGGCTCCACCTATTCAGAAGCCACACCTGAGGCTCTGCAGTTAACACATCAACCCAAAAGTGAGGGAATCAGACACTCTGTGGGCAGAGTGTGTGGAATCTGCGATTATAGAAAAGTAATTTCCAGGGCCTTAGTCTTGCTTGGGCAACAAAATTTTCCTGGGATGGGAGTTAAACAAAGAATGGGAGGGGTTGTGTGCCTGTGAGAGAGTTGTCTTCAGGCTGGGCTGATCTTTTCTGCCTGGTTTACTTAAAACAACAAAGGGTCTCATGGTTTTTCTTTCCTTAGCAATGTCTGTACCTTCAAAGGCAGTGGCAGCTGGGGAGGACCAGTGTTTGGAGAGTCTTCTCCGGGGACTGGGCCTGACCTTGGCATTGGCAATGGTAGATCACCAGCAACTGAGCCTAAAGCCTCAGGCCTCAAGCTGTGTCAACTGAACTATATTCCCAGTCTTTATTTTTAATTCTGAGACAGGAACTCACTAAATTGCCCAGGCTGGCCTTGAACTTGTGATTCTCCCACTTCAGTCTTCCAAGTTGCTGGAATGCCAAGCTTACCACACCAGGCCCAGCCTGTTAATGTCTCCTAAAACTGGATGAAGGTAGGCAAATCATCTAGAAACTTCTGCTCCTCTGGGAGGTATTTTAGGGAGGCTGTATTCACTTCCTTTCCTTCGATAGCCCACAGGAAACATCAAAGATCTAGTGGCCTGTTACAGTCTCAGCTAATGCCATGGCTAAGGAGGTCAATTAAGTCAGAACTGGTAACCAGAGAGCAAGGGCCTTCTGATTTGCCCAAGTGCTGTGCCTTGTTCCTGGTGTGATCTCTCATCTTGCTTTGCAAACAGATTCCTATACTTACTACAACTTGGTGTAGTGCTGAAGGGGGTTAGGAGCCAGGACCTGAGACTTGATGAGCTACAGTCCTAGGTAATCGGTCAGCTACCACTTTGGCAGATACTCTTACCATCCCCATGTTATAGATACTGAGAAAAAAGGCATGGAAGGTTTGTATGCATGGTTACTCTGAGACTAGAAAATTGTGCTATCCCAGGGAGTGGGAGATAACTACGATGAAAGCCTCAAGCCTTCTGATATATCACCTGTCTAGATTTTGCTGCATCTTACTTTCAGATTTCTGGTTCAGTCTCCTCTTGCTTCATGTTACAGTAAAGGAGAACATGGGTGTGTGAGCTGGTAGTTTAAGTTGCTAATAGAAAACTGATAGTCAGTAGTACCCCATGCCAGGCCTGCCTTGGGAAATGGTGGATTAAGGAACTGGACACCTGAGTAGGTTCTTGCTATTGGCCTCCCTAAACACTTTATTTTTAGACAAAGTTATGCTGTGCAGTCTGTTCTTGAACTCATGGCAATCCTCCTGCCTCAGCCTCTTGATTACTAATTTTACAGTGCCACCATGACTAGCTAGCTGTCTTTCTCTTCTTTTAACTCTTCTCACCTCAGTTAACTGTTAGGAGGATTAAGTGATAAGGCATCACCTGGGTAAGCAGATCACAGGACTACACACAATATTTGCTGTGTTTTTATTCTGTATTTTATCCTGCTCTTCACCCCTCCCCCTCATCAGAGCTGTCAGAGAATTTTTTTAAAGGCCTTAAAAGAATTTTTAAACCCTTAAAAGTAAGGTTTTGGCTTACTTACTAGGCCAACAAGTCTAGCTCTAACTTCACTCTTTAAAAAAATAGAAATAGGCCAGGCATGGTGGCTCACGCCTTTAATCCCAGCCCTTGGGAAGCAGAGGCAGGCACATCTCTGTGAGCTTGAGGCCAGCCTGGTCTACTAAGTGAGTCTAGGACAGCCAAAGCTACACAGAGAAACCCTGTATCAAAAAGCAAACAAAATGAAGTTAGGATGGGAGTGTGGCAGTGTGGTTTGGCAGTAGAGAGTAGGTTTACCATGCTTTAGGCCTTGGGTTTAATCTCAGCACAAACTAAAAAAAGAAGAAAAGAAAAAACAAAAGAAAGGAGAAGAAAAAGGAAGATTATTATTTTTTTTTAATAGTTTGAGGCTGGGCTGCAACTTAGTTGGCAGAGTGCTCATTAAGGAACATGACTCCATCCCCAGCAACACAGACCTGGGCATGGTAATTCCTACCTGCAGTCCCACCTCAGGGAGCAGAGGCGGGAGACAGTTTAAGGCTCTTAGGTCTGGGAATCACTGAAGAAAGACCTCAGACTCAGGTAAAATGCAAAAGTAAGGAGCCTCTATTCTGCAGAAATTTCCGGCATGCAGGAGCCACCATTCCATAGAATGGAGACCCAGAAGAAGGAAGCATACAGGCTGAGTTTAAAAATGAAATTTCTCAGTGTGGTTACATAACTTTTATGTTGATTGGTTGGTATTGATCTAGGGGATTTGGGGGTGGGGAAGGAATGACCCATTGGTTCTGCAGTTAGGGGACTTCATGGAGTGTCCAGGTGACAAAGTGTGCCCAGGTAACAAAGTATCATTTTAGCTATCTAGGCAAAGTGATTCTAACTGACCTTTAATTTGATTGGTCAAGTGCTTGGGGACTTTACTGAGTTATTGTTTCTGGTTTTCAGGGCGGTTATTGAGTTATTGTATCTGGTTTCCATGGACTGTAGTTTCTGTTCTGAGAAATAGAAACTCAAGCCTATTCAGTGTGAAGCCAGTTTTGAAGCCTGTCATGGAGTCAGACTGGTTTATTAAAAATCATTCCCCTCAGAGGCCAGCCTAGTTTACAGAAGGAGTTCCAGTATAGGGATGATTATATATAAAGAGGGAGGAGGGGAGAGAAAGGACTGGATAGATAATTTAACAGTGTATTCTTGCAGAAAACCAGGGTTCAATTCCCAGCACTCACATTTTGGCTCACAACCATCCACAACACTGTGATGTACAGACATACACATGAGCAAAACACTCAAATTCATAAAATAAACACATCTAAGAAAAATTTTAAAATACTTAAACAATAAAAACAAATAAGGCAGTACAAAGATGGCTCAGCTGGTAAAGGTACTTGCTGCCAAAACTGACAACCTGAGATTGATCATTGGTTCCAATGATCATTGGTTCCCACACGGTGGGGAGAGAGAACTGACCTCAGCCAGCTGTTCTCTGACCTGCACACTCGGACAGTGGCAAGTGCAAGCACACACAAGAAATAAGTAAATGTAAAACAACAACAATAACCCATGAACTAGGAGTCACCAATAAGTTGCTTATGCTAGTATTAGCTTGCATTTTGTGGCTTCTTCGTTTAGATAAAGAATCACTGTGCTGTAACTTTTATACCTGTCTATTCTCACTTTCTAATTGGTGTTCCTTTAAAGTTCGGCTTTAAAATAGAGATATTCTCTTTTCCTGTTGGGTCAAAAGCAACATAGTGAATGATTAGAACTGGATATGCCTGGATGCTGTTAGAATGAGAAACTTCAATACACACTGTTACAGTAATCATTCCAACTCCTAAAATCTTTCTGGTGTCTTTCTGAAAATAGGTATGAGCATTCTTCAGGGAAAGGATGATATATTTTTGGATCTGAAGCAGAAATTCTGGAATACATATAAGGTAAGGCAGGCTTTTGAAAATGTAATCGTATCTTTTAATATTTTAAACATTAAAGAAGACTTACTTTAGGGGCTGGTGAGAAGGCTCAGTGGGAAAGGAGTCTGCTGCCAAGCCTGAGGACCTGAGTTCTATCCCTGAAATTTTACATGGTAGTAGGAGAAAACTGACTCTCACAGTTGTCCCTGAACTCCACACATTTTCTGTTGCCTGCCTGCACATGTACACAAGAATGCTAGTAGGAGTGCATAGATAGACACACTCATGTGCAATAAATGAATGTGATTTTCAGCAATCACAACTTATTTCATAGGTTTGCAAAACAGGAAGCTATGGGTAGGCTAAGGGCTTATCGGTGCAGCCAGTGTTTCTAGGTGTACATTGTTTTTGAGTCCTTGTGAAAAGAACCTTATGTCGCAAAGGTGTTTCCAGAGAAGGATGTTTCCCAGGATTATTCCTATTGAATTAAGTCCCTGTGGTATTCTTTATCCAGTACAAAGGTATATGTTGCTGTTGAACCAACACTACTCATATGTTCAGTGAAGGCTTATTGTCTTCCAGCCTGGCAAAGTCAGGGACATTTCTCAGCTCTGACCTAGCACTAGTTTGAGTCAATTAGTTACAATCAGGTAGATCACTATTTAGGATTCCAGAATATAAACCTAATATTTTATGTGCACTTAGTCCCCTATTCAGAGCAGTGCTGAGGGGTAGAGGTATAGCTTGGTGGGAGAAGTGTTTGTTTGGTGGTAGGAGGGAAGAAAAGCTCTCAGGATTAACTCCAACACCTAAAAATCACAAAAGCCAATGTAACATGAAGCCACATGGAGCTATCACCTGCACTGATGGATGGTACTGAGCCCCAGAACCAGCATTGTTCCTTTGGTGACTGAAGGCAGAAAGGAGATTTGAAGCCACAGAATTCCTTGAACACCTCTAGTTAGGGAAGTCTTCTTCAAGGAAGGTGTTTAGAGCTCTTGTTACTTCTCTTGGGGTAGAAATTGTGTCTCCACAGAGATTTTGGGATGTGATTGCCTTGTTTATTTTAGAAGGAAGAGTAAAGTTTCCCAGTATATCAAATTCAAGACAGATACATACATCTGACATGTTTTGTTAATGTGTATATTTATTGGTTTTGTTGTTTGTTTTGAAACATGGTGTGACTGTATAGCCCAGGCTGGCCCACACTTTACTGTATAGAGCAACCCTGCCTCAGCCTCCTGAGTGCTGAGATTATAGGTGTTATGGCCACCACACTGTGCTGTCCACCGAATGTTCGGAAGAACAGGAAGCAGAACTCGAAGTACAGGTCCTGGGTAATCTGCTCCTTTAGTCTGCCTTGGGTGCAGAGGCCTGGGAATCTTGGTGTATCTTATGTTTTTATCTTTTTCCAGGGCTGGGATCAGACCCAGGTCCTCACATATGTTACACAAGTGACTTATCACTCTCTACCTACCCCAGTCCTACCTCTGTTTTTGATATCATTACTGTTGTTATTGTTGAAACAAGGTCTTATGTACCTCAGGCTACCCTTGAGCTCATTATGTAGCTGAGATTTGAAACCAGAGATTTGTGTATGCTAGGCAAACAGTCTACTAACTGAACCATATCCTCAGCCCTATTTACTTATTTTTTGCTGTACTAGATATTGACCTTGGATCTCAAGCATGCTAGACAGGCATGCTACCACTGAGCTACAGCCAGCAATTTTTAATCATTCATTTCTGAGAAAGGGTTTCATTAAATTGCTCAGGCAGACTTGGAACTTGCATTCCTCAGTCTCCCAAGTAGCTGAGACCACAGACCTCTTGCTCTGTGTCATCCCCTTTTCCTCTTCCTTCCCCTTCCTTTTTTTTTTTTTTTTTTTCTTTTCCCCTACAATGCTGGGGCTAGAACTTAGGGCACTGTGCATGCTAGGCAGCTGCGCCACATCCTAGCCTCTGCACCCATATTTGATTCTGCCTGAGCTGCCATCCTGTGCTGCTTGTTGAGTGGTGAACCCCAGTGCTATTCACCAGGTGGCATGTGGCACTGTGCTGTGAGAAGTGGAGCGGAAGGCCACCTGTAACACTCTTGTTTAAAACTCTACTTTATTTGGGGTGTTCAGGCCTCTTCCTACTTTACACCAACTCCCAACCTTAAGTAGGAGAAAGAAAAAATTAGTGGGGAGAGGGGCCCAGACACCTCTATTTATCCCTGTTATTTAGGGCCAAAGGGTTCTTTTAGGGCTCTATACCAAGCTCCATCAACTGCAGATGCAACTAGCAGATTTCTTCAGGCCACTGCACCCCAAGCATTGCTCTGTGTCTATCTGCTTCAAGCGGCCACGTGGTCTCTGGTCTCTCCAAACTGCTCCACGCCACACGCCAAGGCTGAAGGCCGCACCGACTGTCACCACACACTGTCTCTTTCTCAGCCTTGTATTTCTACTCTCAGATCACTGGACCACGCCCCTCTTCATGCGTCAGGAGGCAGGCCACTACCAGCTGGCAAAAGCCACACTCTCCATAAGACAGTTATCAGCTGTGCACAAACTATAGCCCAACTAAAACCCCACACTTGGGATTAATCTACAAAGAAACTCAAGCTTCCACTACAGGGAAGGGCCTGCTCCTCACTCCCAGCCTCTTCTTTACTGTGGATATGTATGTACTCTGGAGTTCTTTTTTTTTTTTTTCTCCCAGCAGTTTATAATTAATTACTGTGTTCACTTATTTTTGGTATTCTCAAGCATTCCAGACTTGGTCAGTGGAAGGTCCTTCAAGTTGATTTCTGTGTCCCTGAAGCCTCTCCTGTCTCTCACATATATTCTAGGATTAAAGATGCACCACCAAGCCTGACTCACGTATATTTTTTTAAAAAATTATTTCTTGGTGTATAGTGGCTCATACTTATTTATAACCCCAGCACTCAGGAGGCAGAGGCAGGAAGATTGCCATGTGTTTGAGACTAAACTGAGCTACAGAGCAAGATTCAGTTGCAAAAGCAAGTAAATAAAAATAAAGTGATGTTGGGCATGGTGGCACATGCCTTTAATACCAGTGCTCAGGAGGTAGAGGCAGGTGGAGGGTCTCTGTGGCCAGCCTTGTCTACCAAGAGACAAGACAGCCAGGGCTATTATATAGAGAAACCCTGTCTCAAAAAACAAAACTAAACAAAACACAACACAACAAAAATAAAACCCCAAAAACAAAACCTAAAAAAACAAAATAAAAATAAAGTGATTTTAAAAATTAAGAGGTTGGCAAGATGGCTCAGTGGATAAAGGTACTTGCCACTAGGCCTGAGAATTTGAGTTTCCAAGACTCCTGAAAGTATCTTCTGACATACAAACACACACACACAATAAATATGAGAGGAAATTTGTAATGTCAACCTATCTTGTTCTATAACAAGAGATCGCTTAGATGTGTTGTGTGGCCTTTTGTGCAGGTGAGTGCCGAGCTGTATAGATTCTGGGACTGGGCTGTGGCTCAGTGGTAGAGCATTTGCCTAGCATTTGCCTAGCAGGTAGATCACTATAAATTCTAAGTCAGCCTGGTCTAAATAGTAAGCAAATTCAGGTCAGCCAATGACATGCCACAAACATTTATGTTGATACTCACTTGGAAATTATATATAAATATATGTGATTATTCTTAAAGTACTTTTCTTAAAGATCTTTTCCAGAACCTGTGACTGACTTTTCAGTCTGCACTTACGAGTATAACTAACAAAAGGCATATTGGCTTACGAGCTGGGCCCTCAGGTCTCCACCTACTCTCTTAAAGCCTCAAGCAGTCTTCAGTTAATCAGCCCAGAGTGCATCCAATCCTGGCTGGTCATTATACCTACCTGACACTTCTTAGTCTTTTATGGAATGAGATGTATCTTTTTTTATGTTACTAGACAGTATTTTAATGAGGGTTTTCTTCATTCCAGAGTGGTCTGATGTACTGGCCTTTTGTGCAGGTGAGTGTCGAGCTGTATAGATTCTGGGGCTGGGCTGTGGCTCACATTTGTCTAGCAAGTGCTGGGTCCTGAGTTTAGTCCTTAGCATGGGATGAAAACAAAACCCAAAATAAGCTCTATTAACTGTCTGTTCCTAATAGACTCTTTCTGTGTTGCAGCTGACCAACTTCAGCCTTGTCCCTGTGCACTGGAGAACAGCTTACACGGGTCTCTGTGGTTTCCTCTGGGCCACCTTCCTATGCTTCTCACAGCAGAGTGGTGATGGCACAGTGGAGTCCATATTCATCCTCCTTCGCAGTAAGGAGGCAGGACACAGGCCCTTAGAGAAGTGAGGAGTCCAGACTTCTTTCCTAGGACTCAGTTTGTTTGTTTGTTTGTTTGTTTGTTGTGTTTTTCTCCATTTCTCTGACTCATCTACATCAGGCCTGCTTCACTGAGTAATTATGGGCTCCATCATGAAGAATTACTATTCCATAGGTCCACTTGTTTTGAAATTATCAATGATTATTTTAACTTTTATCTAAACCTTTCTAAATTATTCCAGTCTGAAAGTCTTATTTCTCTGATATTTGCATTTCTCTAATGCTTTGCTTAAAAATTTTAATAATGACAGGTGATATTTTGGAATTATTAACATTTCTATTCTAATGTTATAAGGCCAGTTGAATTTAAAAAAGAAAACCTCCAGTTTTGATTGTTTACATTTCTAGCCTAAACTCTTAGGCTATTTTCTACACACTTTGGAATTAAATTGCCCTTTGTCTTGATAGTATGTATCTATTTATATAGAATTCAGTCAAGAAGACTGAATACTCAGTGTCCCTCCCAATATTCTGTAATAATTTATTATTATGCCAACATCAAAATTCTGTAAGTAGATGTTTTTATCTTCAAAATAAAGGAATAGTGTAGCTGGAGAGATGGCTCAGTGGATAAGAGCACTGTGTACTCTTACAGAGGTACTGAGTTCAATTCCCAACAACCCACATGGTGGCTCACAACCACAACTGGAATCTAATGGCCTCTTCTGGCATGCAGGTGTGCATGCAGACAGAGCACTCACACATTAAATAAAATCTAAAGGAAAAAAAAAAAGGAATAGTGTTGGATATATAGAATATTTTATTGCTACAACCTACTTTTTTTTTTTTTTTTTTTTTTTAAGATAAGGTTTCTCTTTTAGCCCAGGTTGCCCAGGGTGGGCTTCAGCTTTCCAAGTGCTGAGATTACAGGCATGAGCCATCATGTCTTACTCTTCTATTTTTATATTATACCAAGTACAGTACTTTTTAATTGATATCTTCTAGCTTTGAGAAGATACAGTTCACCAAATACCCCAATTCCTACATATATGAAATAAAATATTTAGTTTCTTAATGAATTATAGCAAATGAAAATTCTGGAAAACTAATCATTTTTTTCCCTCTCTAAGGAAAAACTTTAATCCATACTGTACAAGTGTACACAGTTTGCAGCAATCCTCCTGCCTCTGCGTTCCAGATGCTGGGGTTACAGACATGAGCCACCGGGCCTGGCTTTTCTGTGTCTGTAGTACCAGGGGCGGAACCCAGGGTCTCCTTGGCCCTGCCAGATCAGAGCTCTGCCCCTGGCTGCACACCTGGATGCTGACAGCATTCTTTTTTAATTCAGTGCTTTAAAATTTCGTATCTTTGTACTTTAAAGTAGACAAGAGAAACATCAGCGAGTCTTTCACATTTTCTCAGCCAGCCACCATCAGGTTTCAAAATGATGTAAATAAGCAGGCATGGAGGTATGCCTGTCTACTCCAGAAGCTAATGGAAGCTAATGAAGGAGTTCAGGACTGGACTAGAAAAAAACAGCATGTCCCTGTCTCAAAAACACAAAACATACAAAATTTGAAACTATGAATGCCTCACCTAAAAATTGCCCCCATGGTTCTGTTGCTCCTACTGGCATACTTGACAAATTTCAAGATGTGAAACACTGAATCTGAGTTTATCTTGCAAATGTGTAAGGTCAATTTTAGAATTCATGCTTAAATTTCTAAGCAAGTAATTTATATGGTTTGTAATATGTTTGTATAAATTATAATATGTACCTTCTAAATGTATAAGTCATTGGAATGTAATAGATAATGATACATTTTACATTGGGGAAGTAGTAAAAACATTTCTTAATGACTATGTGCTTTTTAAAAGTTGGGTAGCTGGGCTGGAGAGATGGCTCAGCAGTTAAGAGCACTGGTTGCTCTTTCAGAGATCCTGAGTTCAATTCCCAGCAACCACATGATGGCTCACAGCTATCTGTAATGGGATCTAATGCCCTCTTCTGTCGTGTAGGCATACATGCAAATAGAGCGCTCATATAAATAAATAAATCTTAAAGTAATAAAAATCTTAAAAAAAAATGTTGGGGAGCTGTGGTAGCCTTTCTGTAATCTCAGTGCTCAGTAGGTGGAAATGGGATCCCTGCCTCAAGCTGGCTTTAGCTTGACTAGTTGAATGGAATCAGTGAGCTCAGGGTTCAGCAGGAGATCGTGCATCAGTGTAGTGGTTTGAATGAGAATGTCCCCCATACGCTTTTATATCCAAATGCTTAATCATCAGGAAGCGACACTATTTGAAAGGGGACTTGTTGCAGGGTGTGTGACATTGCGGGTGGGCTCTGAGGTTTCTGAAGCCCAAGCTAGGCCCAGCATATCTCTCTGTTGTCTGCTGCCTGAGGATTTACATGTAGAACTCTGACTAACTTCTCCAAGATCATGTCTGCCTGCATGCCACCATGCTTCCTGCCATGGGGATAATGCACTAAACCCCTGAAACTGTAAACAAGTCCCAATTAAATGCTTCTTTTTATAAGAGTTCCCATAGTCATGATGTCTCCTTATAGCAGTAGAACACTGACTAAGACAATCAGTCATGTGGAGAGAAATCAAAGAAGATATTCTATATCAACCTCTGCCCTCCTTGTGCACATTCATACCTGTGAACATGCATATACATACATGCATACTACCTTTACACACACACGTTGATGAAGTACCTGACCTATGGCGTTGACACACATGCACACAAATGTGTAGATATCATAATTTAGTATTGTGTAAATATACATATGCACAAGGCACTTAGGGATTTGGGATGTAACTCAGTGGCACAGTGCTTGCTCACAGTAGATCAAAGGAGGTGGACAGGAAGGAGGAAAGGGAGCAAGGACTAAATAATATTCTCCGATCATTCTTCAGCTTTGCAAAAATGTAGTGCTCCTGTAATTAAAATCCATGCATCAATAGCACCCTATTGGTCATTTTCATTTGAGGGAAAACGGACAAGTTATTGTATTATCTGTATCATAGTGTGGTAAGAACTAGACAACTTGAGAGCCGGGAGAAATTTTTGTAAGAACTGAGTTTGAGAGTTTGTTTTCAGTATTTCTGTTTTTTCTCAATATCTGTTTATTGAGTGATTTTTTTTTTTTTTAGAGTCATATCTGCCTATGGCAGAGTCAATAAAACTTGTCAGTAAGAGATTTATATATTCTTTGGGAAAATTCAATTACTGCCTGATCTGTAGAAAAAGAAATCATTTAATGACTAAAAGAAATCGGAGATTCTTGGCTGATGTGCTGGATTACCTGTCATAACAGCAGGGAGGCACAGGGGGGATAACCAGGAGTTCAAGGTCATCCTCAGCAAGTTCAAGGCCAGCTTGGGTGCCTGAGCCCCTGTCTGAAAGACAAAGCAAAACAAAACAAAAGCCAATTTAGAGGAGAAAAGAAAAGGAGGGTCTGGAGAGGGCAGGGGCTGCTCTTTGTAGGGGTTGGTTCCCAAGCCCCACACGGAAGCATAAACCTCCTGTAACTCCAGTTCTAGGGGATTCAACACCCTCTGGTCTCTTTAGGCACCAAACCTCCACTCAACACACTCATACATATAAAATAAAAATAAATTAAAAAAAATAAATCTCTGAGAAGGAGGTGGGGTGTGCAATCAGATCTCTGAGTTCTAGGCCGCAAAATGAGACTGAGAAATTTCAGTTACTAAAAGTTATGGTTACAGTATAAAGAAGAAAACACTTAAATATCCTAGCGCTTCACCAAAAAGTGTTACTTTGTTTTAATGATGGGGGTGGGGGGATTCTTTCTTTTTGTTTGTTTCTTTCTTTTTTACATTAAAGCCTAGAGTTAAAGAAAATTAACTTCTGCCTTTAGAATGCATCTAAATAGGGTCTTCACATTAAGGATGTGACTGCTTACACAGATGATCCAGAGCCACAGTTCCTAAGTCATATGCCTTTCTAACTGCCTTGATTATTATTTTCCTTCTAAAGACCATCATCCTTCAAGATTAATTTGGAAACAAGAAAAAATTTGCTATATATATTTTTTTCCTACACGGGCAATTTACTTTTAGCTCAGTGGGATTTTATGGATATTTCTACAGTGTTTGCCAAAACACGTTATGTCTAATACAGACTTGACATATCTGGGAGGCAGATTTCATTTGCAATTGGGTTCATCTTCTGAGAGTTAAAAAGCTAGAGGGTTTTTGTGCCTGAATTATTTTTATGAGGCACAATAAATGTAGCCCAGGCTGCTCTTGAAACTGTGTAGCTGAAATACTTCTGCCTCTGCTTACCAAGTGTCAGAGTTCACTCACATGTCTTAGAATCCAAAGGGACTAAATGCTCATAAATCTAACCAAAACTATTGACATTTTCTTCTTTTAATATAATCAGCAGCCTGTAAACAAAAAGGGAAATCTGAAATATAAAGATAATAGCCTTAAAAGATAAACATGAAGAGATATGAGCAGCAGCTAGCCACACGCATAGAAGAGTCATAACTTGTGAACACGAGGTGCGCACAGGTATGAACTAGTGGAACCAGGAATGACAAACATACAGGGTTGTTTCTTTAAAGGGAGAGATGTGGAACCTATTTTCTGCCCAGAAGGCTGGAAATGGAGGTAGTTAATATCCTGGCAAGCTTTGCACTATCTGACTGAGGCCACATCTGGCTTCCTAGACTCTTACCCCAAGGACTGCAGGTGGATAATAGCCTAGGTGACCTCTGTGCTATCTGTACGACCAAGACCACACCAGATCTTCCCTAGGCCCTTAAGATAACACAGGAAGTCTATCTCTAGAACCCATCTTCATGGAAGAGGGGGCATGTGCTTGGACAAGAGTTTCAATGTAATGATGAGTTAAGCTTTACTGTGCACACGGGATTCTGTTACAACAGGAAACTTTTAAACTTTTATTTACAAATTATACTGTGACTAAAAATGCCTAAAATAAACTGCCTAATGTCAGACTCTCCAAGTTTGAGCCAATACCAGCTACTGAGTCATGCTGAACTGGACTTCCTTCTTTTCTCATGTGGCCTTACAGTGTGCTGGCCACAGTGTTTGCAGAGAACTCCCTCCCCCAACACACAGAATAACTGAGAAGTCTGTGGTGTAGATTCAGTGAAAGCTGATTCTGTCTAGTTCCCATCTCCTTTCTATGTCTTTCCTTCATGGAATCTTTGTTCACTTGCTTCTCCCTCCCAGCCAGGCAGAGATCATTCACCTGTTATAGATTTCCCACAATGCATAGCCATTCTCCATTTGCATGTCTGCCTGGTATACAGGATTGAGAACTTCTGGAGGAAGACTGCTTTTCACTTTTAGACTTGAGGTGTTGAGCTTACGGGCACTTGTGTCAACTGCTGTGTGTTGGCTGGGTTACTATGGATGGTGGAGTTCCAGTCTCTCATGTTCTGTCTCTGGTTGGTTTTATGCCTGGACTGGTCTCCTTTTCTTTCTCTTTCCTTGGTCTGCAAACAGCTCTACACACTATCACCCTTAGCAGATCTAGGTCCCCAGAATTCTAGTATTTCTTGGTGATGGCATTCATTCTCTGGCTGTATTTGCACACATGCCTCAGAAGTGCCTTTCCTCAGGCCTCTGACTCTGTAACCAGCATGCTTATCTCTAAGCATTGGGTGGGCTGTCAGGATCCCCAGTCTTCAGTGAACAACTCTTGTTCACACATCAGTGTTTTGTTGTTTGTAATGTATGCAAAGTATGTGTGAGTGATACCTGCTAGCTCACACTGCACAGAATTTCTTTAGAGGCTGGCAAGGTGGCGTAGAAGGTAAAAAGAATTTCTGTGTAAACCTGGTAATCAGGATGGAAGGAAAGTTGTTCTTTAATCTCCACATGCAGACCATGGCACATGAGCTCCTCCAACCCCATCACACACATATACTCATATGATAGCAACAAGTTATATTTTTAAAAATCTTTGTGAGGAGAAAGGTGCTTGCCAAGTTTGAATGATGTTTTGAGTTTGATTTCTGAGATCCACATGGTAGAAGGAGAGAACTGACTCTCACAGGTTATCTTTGGATCTCCATCGAGGAGCAAACACCAATAATAATAATAAATACAAGAAAAAAGGCCTTTTGGGGATTCCTGAAATAATGTCACTTGTTCTTCTTTCCATGTCTACTCTATGGAACAAGAAAACCTGTATGTCCTAAAGACAGACATTCAGCCAGCTAGCTGGGTGATTTCCCCCAAACAAGAGAATTGGCCGCTTTCCCTTTTCAGTTATGAATGGTTGGAATAGGCATGGTGTGGGCTCTGTAAATGCTGGGGACTGAGCCTTAGTTCCTGTTAAATGACAGCCCTTTTGGGGCTGAGGTTCTCATCATGTTTTTCATTACTTAATGGTTTCTCCCAAATAGTGGCTCCCATTCTGTTCTGCATATAGAACCATACAGCTGCCTGCATGCTGCAATGCTCCCTGCCATGATGGTAAGGCACTAAACCTCTGAACTGCAAGCCAGCCCAATTAAATGTTTTCCTTTACAAGATTTGCTGTGGTCATCTCTTCACAGCAATGAAATTGTAGCTAAGACAAGTGAACAGAGCTAAAACAGATAAAGTTACAAGCTCACCTCACGTTTCAGGTTTGTGAAATATTCACATCTCATGAAGAAGCAACACCTAAACCCAAGAGGGCAGCTGTTGCAACATCCAGTTCATCTTGAGGATTTCAATCAGTCATAAAATAAATGTTCTAGTTTCAAAGTGAAAAAAGAGCAATATGAATATTAAATGTGTGGGGCACGTTGACTGTGCTTCTGGGAAATCGTCATGGAGCTAAAGCAAGGTGGAGATGTATCCAAACCTCCAAAATCTCAATCTTGAGATCAGCAGGTGTAAGGATTGCTTCCTCCCTGTTCTGTGCCTGCATCCTCCTACCTCCACAGTTTAGAGGTAGTCTGGTAGCCTAGCACCTGGAATTCCTCTCTGTGCAAATAAAGCATACACAGCACCTCAACCCCCAGCCAATGAAATACACCTACCCTAAAACTCCTTCCCACTCATATAGCCCGTGTTTACCCTGAATAACATGCACAAGCTGCTTCACTGAATATAGTCTAAAATCCTCAGGGAAAGCCTTCCCCCCACCCCACCCAGAACTCCCACCTGGACTGGGATGCTGCAGACCCACCTGTTCTAGCTTTGCTTCACCCTTCCCAGCTTGGTGTGCAGTGGCACCTGGAAATCCTGAGGGAAGAAGTGGAGCACAGGACCACAAGACTTAACTAAAAGATGTAATCAACCCACCATGCAGAAATAATCATCTGTCAAATTTCTGTAGATTATTTTTGCTTTGGAATGATAAATAATACCAAAGGGAACCAAAATCTCTAGGCTTCTGACAACGTGAATTTCTGAACATAGGCAGTAGAGTGTCTTCTGTGGTGGTGTGCAGGTTTTCCAACACAGCTAATGATTGCAGAAAAATTTAAAGAGCTGTATATACATTTGAGTTATTTCTCAATACTCTCCAGCAATTATGCTA